CTCTGTTATATTGCAGCCGTTTGCTAAAATCATTTAAGTTAATTTTTTTCCTCATTAATGTGCGCACAGCACCCCATATTGACAGAAAAACACAGCATTGTTGACATTTTTGCAGATTTATTAAAAAAGAAAAACTGAAATATCAGATGGTCCTAAGTATTCAGACCCTTTGCTCAGTATTTAGTAGAAGCATCCTTTTGATCTAATACAGCCATGAGTCTTTTTGGGAAAGATGCAACAAGTTTTTCACACTTGGATTTGGGGATCCTCTGCCATTCCTCCTTGCAGATCCTCTCCAGTTCTGTCAGGTTGGATGTAAACGTTGGTGGACAGCCATTTTTAGGTCTCTCCAGAGATGCTCAATTTGGTTTAAGTCAGGGCTCTGGCTGGGTCATTCAAGAACAGTCACAGAGTTGTTGTGAAGCCACTCCTTCGTTATTTTAGCTGTGTGCTTAGGGTCATTGTCTTGTTGGAAGGTAAACCTTTGGCCCAGTCTGAGGTCCTGAGCACTCTGGAGAAGGTTTTCGTCCAGGATATCCCTGTACTTGGCCGCATTCATCTTTCCCTTGATTGCAACCAGTCGTCCTGTCCCTGCAGCTGAAAAACACCCCCCCAGCATGATGCTGCCACCACCATGCTTCACTGTTGGGACTGTATTGGACAGGTGATGAGCAGTGCCTGGTTTTCTCCACACATACCGCTTAGAATTAAGGCCAAAAAGTTCTCATCAGACCAGAGAATCTTATTTCTCACCATCTTGGAGTCCTCCATGCGGGCTTTCATGTGTCTTGCACTGAGGAGAGGCTTCCGTCGGGCCACTCTGCCATAAAGCCCCGACTGGTGGAGGGCTGCAGTGATGGTTGACTTTCTACAGCTTTCTCCCATCTCCCGACTGCATCTCTGGCGCTCAGCCACAGTGATCTTTGGGTTCTTCTTTACCTCTCTCACCAAGGCTCTTCTCCCCCGATAGCTCAGTTTGGCTGGACGGCCAGCTCTAGGAAGGGTTCTGGTCGTCCCAAATGTCTTCCATTTAAGGATTATGGAGGCCACTGTGCTCTTAGGAACCTTAAGTGCAGCAGAAATTTTTTTGTAACTTTGGCCAGATCTGTGCCTTGCCACAATTCTGTTTCTGAGCTCTTCAGGCAGTTCCTTTGACTTCATGATTCTCATTTGCTCTGACATGGACTGTGAGCTGTAAGGTCTTATATAGACAGGTTTGTGGCTTTCCTAATCAAGTCCAATCAGTATAATCAAACACAGCTGGACTCAAATGCAGGCGTAGAACCCTCTCAAGGATGATCAGAAGAAATGGACAGCACCTGCGTTAAATATATGAGTGTCACAGCAAAGGGTCTGAATACTTAGGACCATGTGATATTTCAGTTTTTCTTTTTTAATAAATCTGCAAAAATGTCAACAATTCTGTGTTTTTCAGACAATATGGGGTGCTGTGTGTACATTAATGAGGAAAAAAAATGAACTTGAATGATTTTAGCAAATGGCTGCAATATAACAAAGAGTGAAAAATTTAAGGGGGTCTGAATACTTTCCGTACCCACTGTATATAATATGCCATCAATAGCAGTTTGTTTCCACAAGTTAGGGTGCATTGCTATCATACTGCAAATAAAATTCACACAACCACCATTTGAAGAGGACTTGTGGGTGTGCACTAGTGAAAGTGGTCAACCACTTGTCAAGTCTGATGTCAAACAGACTTTAGGGTCCCCTTCTTGTGGTATTAATGCATTTTCAATGATCGGATAACGATCGGATTACACTTGACCACATCAAAAGCCAGGAGTAAATGCACCTAAGATGCACTGAGATCAGATCACTACAAAACCCATTTGGTGTCTAAAGACAAATGTTGATAATTTCAGTCATTTAAGTGCCATGTCAAATGTCGCTCACATTTGCTCACCTGGTTCAAATTAACAATATGCCATTATTTATTAAATTATTTCAGTGCATTACAACTTGGTATTTCACTTCTGTCCCCAAATACAATGACTTCAAAACCCTAATAACATCCTATACTGTGGGAATTTTCATAGAGAAGGGATGCAAATCCATACACTTTATCTTTGTCCATTAAATGACATAAAAACTGAATTATGTAATGTATCAATGTTTTAACAGAAATGCTTCTGACTCACATATTACCCTACCGTTCAAAAGTTTGGGGTCAGTAAGATTTTTTTTATAATAATAAAACAAAAATAAATTAACACCCTTTTTCAGCAATGATGTATTGAATTAAGCAAAAGTGACAGTAAATACATTTATTACAATATTAATATTACAAAAGAAATTATATTTCAAATAAATGCTGTACTTTTGAACTTTGTTAATCAAAATGTTCAGAAAAAAAATCCCACAGCAGCACAACTGTTTTCAACACTGATGATAATAATAAGAAATGTTACTTGAGCAGCAAATCAGCATATTAGAATGAAATCAAATCTCTTTTCGATTACACTAAAGATGCATTAAAACATTTTTTTATGATGGATGGATGCAGTTTATTGGATGTCTATTGGACTATTGAATATCACCCATTCACTGCCATTATAAAGCTTGGAAGAGCCAGGACATTTTTAAATATAACTCATCTCGATTGTATTCGTCTGAAAGAAGAAAATCATAAACACCTCGGATGGCTTGAGGTTGAGTAAATTATGGGGTAATTTTCATTTTTGGGTGAACTATCCCTTTAAGGTCCTGAGTGTAGCTATATTTTATACCTAGTTTAGGTATGAAAGGAAATGAGAGTGAATCATAATAACAATAATAAAAATACATAATTGTGACAAAATTGGTTCTGTTTGCATTAACACAGCCAAAATGATTTAAAAAAAAGGATGCACAAGGGTTAAAAATGTATATGCAAAGGGGACTTCATATCTGCGTATCTCCCTGGTCAATCTGAGGTTTAAAAAAATGAAAACTGAAAAGAAAATGAAAACAGCAAGCTTACCTCTTTATCCTCTAGGTCTGAAGAAAGGCTACAGAAATCCTCAGTGTTGAGGCACTCAAAGTCTGACTCCTCGACAGCGATCGGGACACTGACGGTCAAGCTTGGGTTGCTGATAAAATCCTCTGTGTCACTATCCATGTCTGTACCGCTGGTGCCTTTAACCAGCTCTAGTGAGGTGTGATTGGAGTTATCATTTATTGCCTTGCAGTTCCTCAAAATCATGTTCCCATCTACGGTTTTCTTTTTCGGCTTCCTCTTTCTTATACAGCCACTCCGGAAGAAATTCTGAAGGCAGGCCTTAACTAGAGCAAAACCTTTCTTGATTCGACCAACCGCTATCTGCAGGTTGTTCTTTTCAACATCTTCTCCGGGGACCGCGAGGTTGTCGGCACTGAATGAGCTGAGCAGCAGAGCGAGGAACAGGTTCAAAACCTGAAAAATTTGGAAGAAACCAACTACAGGTTGACACAATTCAGATTTTTTTTTTTTAGTGCTCATTTATTAAAAGTAACTATACATACCACCAGATTTCCAATCACCATGACCATCATGTACACAATTAAGCACAAGGCCTGTTCCGACACTTGCATGCAGTCCCACATGGTCTCGATCCACTCTCCGCACAGCACCCTGAAGATGATCAGGAACGAATGGAAGAAATCGTTCATGTGCCAGCGAGGAAGCGTGCAATCCTCCGAAATCTTACATACACAGTCTCTGTAGTTCTTCCCGAACAGTTGCATGCCCACCACAGCGAAGATGAAGACGATGATGGCCAGCACAAGCGTCAGGTTGCTCAAGGCGCCAAGCGAGTTGCCAATGATCTTGATGAGCATGTTCAGAGTGGGCCAGGACTTAGCTAGTTTGAAGACTCTCAGCTGTAACAATAAGGGGCATAAAAGATTAGCATGGGCAAGTTTTTATATATATATATATTTTTTTTAGAATTTAGCATTTCCTGTAGTTTTACATTTAGATTACCTCTGAAGTCATCTAATGCTGATTTAAAGTTAATCTTTAAAATATATATTTTTATAATATTTATTAAAAAAATTATTTAATAGCACTGTTAAATATAGTCTTTAGCCTAAATTCACGTAAATTTAAAATTATTAGTTTTAGTTTGTAGTGTTTTATTTATTTATTTTTTAATTATTTAATGTTTATATAAAGTACTGTTCAAAAGTTTGGGGTTCTTTAAGATTTTTTTATGTTTTTGAAAGAAGTCTCTTAAGCCATCAAGTCTTTAATTTTAAAAATACAGTAAAACATTGATATTGTGAATTATTTATTTTGTTATTACATTGTCATTTATTCCTGTGATGCTACAAATTATTTCTATTTTAAATAAATGCCGTTCTTTTGAACTTTCTATTAAGAAAATCCTGAAAAAATGTATTAGTTTCCACAAAAATACTGTTTTCAACATACAGTAACATAATAATATAAGAAATGTTTCTTAAGCACCAGCACAATTTCTGAATGCTCTCTTTCTCTCTATAATTTAAACAACATCAAGATGTTAATTTTATTAGTTCACTATATATAGATATAAATAATATCAAATAATGAGCAAAATGGTGCTAAAATTGATTTAGTTGAAGTATAACATGTCAGCTTCCCAAAATGTATGCATGTTAATTTCCCAAGTAAACTTGGGAAACAACATTTCTCTCAAGAAAATTTGAATTTAATATGTTAAGAAATATATAAATGCACTGCTAAATATGTATACTTTTTGAGGTAGAGCCAGTGAAATGTTGGCAGTTCCAAGTGAAAATTCAAGCCTCATTGTGACACAGCCTTAAGATTTTGGCCAAGACAAGGTAACTTTGAAGACAGCAATTCATATTGTACCATTGGAAACAGCCCTCAGATTGAAAGGGCACCTATGCTGCCTCTTATATGCCTTTATATAGGTTTTAGAACAGAGCCATTAGGTGTAATGAGATACTCTTACCAGTCTGAATGGCCTAAGAAAACTGATTTTAGGAAAACAAAGTTCCAGAAGATTCAGCGTAACTATGATGCTGTCGAAGATATTCCAGCCTTCCTGAAAGTAAGTGTACGGGTCCAACGCAATGATCTTGAATATCATTTCTGCTGTAAAGATGGCTATGAAAACCTGCATGCAAGGAGACAATTCAAGCTTTTTAAATGAACAACAACAACAACATAATAATAATAATAATAATTATTATTATTTATTTATTTACAAAACTAGATACACATACTGACTAAATTGTGATTTATCAATCTTTACATATGTAGATTGGCATTACGTATGTAATGTGGATTCATTGATCACTTTTTTTCAGTCATTTAATGAGAAAACATCACTACAAATAAAGTGGTTTATATTCTTAGAAGTTAAAATACTGTTTTAACACTTTCATTTATAAATCTAATGTACTAAATTATTTTAATTAGTAAATTCACACTCCTCCATTTCAGTGGGGTTGCACACTAATAATAGTAACTCTTTTTAGAATAACAGAACAAGTCTCACAGTATTGTACATGATTTATTAAAATGCTGCTATAAATGTTCTTACCACATTGGCAGTTGAAAGCATGTTAATATAGGGGGCCTCCATGGGGTGATACTCCATGGCCATGAATGTTGTGTTTATCACGATGCAAATGGTGATAAACAGGTCTGCAAAGGGGTCCATCATAACCATGTGGACAATTTTCTTTATCTTCAGCCATGTGGGACTGCAATCCCAGATCAGATAACTCTCTGCAAACTCGAACCAGTAGTCCACACACTTCTGTTTCCAGACCTCCGACGCTGCCATGTTAAACAAAAAATGAAGACGACAATCTGAAAGCTGCATTTGAACTAGTATGAAGTTCGGTGAAAAATGAAAAGGGCCACTATTAAAGTCAATGAGAACTAAGGCTGCCAAACTTCAAAAAGAAAATAAAAGCATCAAACAAAATTGTTATATGACTTTAAAATTCCCGCCGTTATGTGACACTTATGCCCCCATAAGTGTCACATAACGGCGGGAATTTTAAAGTCAGTGTTAGGATATTTTTTAGACATTTTTAAACTACATCTAACCTAAATATTTCATCATGCATTGTATTTGTGTTTTACAATTTATAATGTACATATGTATATTGTGAGGAAGATGAACTTTGATTTCAAACTCTGAATTGAATTTTTTCTTTACTTAAAACATGTAAACGGTCAGTAATAAAATAAGAACAAACAGGACAAACAAATACAATAACAAGATACAATTGAAATTAACTGTGCTTTAAGTTTCTCAGGTAGGTGTAACCGTAATATTCAGGTACAGAAATGCTACAGAGGCTATTTAACCATAAAATAACACTGGTTAGTTTTCACTGTATTAAAGGGGTCATATGATGCAATTTCATTTTTTCTTTTCTCTTTGGAGTGTTACAAGCTCTTGGTGCATAAAGAAGATCTGTAAAGTTGCAAAGACTAAAGTCTCAAATCCAAAGAGATATTCTTTATAAAAGTTAAGAGTTAACCACACCTACCTAAAACGCCTCGTTCGAACACGCCCCCACATGTCTACCTCACTATGTGGGAAGATTTGCATAACGCCGCCCAAATGTTCACGCAAAGAAAGAAGGCGTAACTTTTATTCTCGCTGTAGTTTTGTTGTTGCCGCTGCCACCATGTCGTGAAGACGCTGTGTGCTTCGTTGTAAAAGCGAAACTACTTTGTTTGGGCTTCCAAAACAGGGATGATATCTGCTTCGTCATGCCTAGAGCTGATCCGTGCTGGTCGCTGAGGGAATACATCAACTTAGTGCTGTGGATCGCCGGATTGGCTTTCACTGTTTTCACCGCTCCTTCGTCGGATCCGCCGGGATCGCCGTTCTCGATCCCGCCGCCTCAGCTCACTCTTTCCCGGCTTCAGCTCACGCTAGGCCGCTGTGTTTTTCGTTGTGAAAGCGAAACTACTTTGTTTGGGCTTCCAAAAGAGGACGATATCGCTTCTTCATGCCTAGAGCTGATCTGTGCTGGTCGCTGAGGGAATACATCAACTTAGTGCTGTGGATCGCCGGCACATTTTATGGAGGACTGTTTACTGATCCTGGGAGAGTAACGTTAGACTAAAATGCCGGTAGTTCTGACTCACGGACTGTAAGTACGTTTTCATTTAAAGGATTTGCCACTGATGATTCAAACGCGAGTTTTGGGCAGTGTAGAGTAGCACTTGTTGTTTGTCATTTCTCCAATCACAAATGCAGACATGGTTTTATGTTTACGAGGCGCAGCGCAACGCAACGCAACACAATGCGTAAAAACGACAGTATAAGTCATTATAATCAGTAATTATGTCCCCACTGGATGCAACAAATGCCTCGTTTGTAATGGGTTTTTTTTTAATTACAAAGAAAAAGCTAACAAATATCCCTCACATGGAGTTTCTTATTATACAGGGCTCATTCACACAGAATGCATTTTTCTTAGTTTCCTAAGTGATACTTTCCATAGTTTTTCTATGAGAACATGCGCTAGACAGACATGTTTGACCATTGCACTTGCTACTTTTGCAGCGTCTCACTCCAAAAACACAGCGCTCAAATGATAATTCACATTTTTAAAAATGCATCTCGAGACTTTGCGTTTCTTTCCCCACTCCACTGTCCGAGCCTCACATTTTTCAAAGCAAAAACACATTCTGTGTCATCGGCCCATAAGTGTGTTTGGTATTTAGGGCTTCTTACGGTCAATATTGCTGACACTTGCTACGCTCAAAGCTCGCTGTCTCGCTGATTGGTCATATAGAAAAGCCCTTGAAAATCTCCTTGAATCACATCGGCGTCTATATTCTTCATCTGTGTCAAACTGTAAAGAGATCACATCAACAGAAAATACATCAACAAATGTTACGATGGTGCTTCATTAGTGTTCGCAAGGCAGCAATATATCGCTATTCGTCAATCATTCTTTTATGCAACCTGTAAATCAACTAAAATTGATATTTCACAAAAATGTGGAAAAAATAAATAAATAAAAGACAAAACATGTTTTGAAACACTACATCTTATTCTTGATGATAAATTTCAGATTTTTTGGGATCCAGTTAAAAGCATGTTTCAGTTTATATATATATATATATATATATATATATATATATATATATATATGTATATATATATTTTCGGAGACTGGGCCGCAGGGCAGTATTCCAACATGATAACGACCCCAAACACACCTCCAAGACGACCACTGCCTTGCTAAAGAAGCTGAGGGTAAAGGTGATGGATTGGCCAAGCATGTCTCCAGACCTAAACCCTATTGAGCATCTCAAGGTCTCTAACATCCACCAGCTCCGTGATGTCGTCATGGAGGAGTGGAAGAGGACTCCAGTGGCAACCTGTGAAGCTCTGGTGAACTCCATGCCCAAGAGGGTTAAGGCAGTGCTGGAAAATAATGGTGGGCGCACAAAATATTGACACTTTGGGCCCAATTTAGACATTTTCACTTAGGGGTGTACTCACTTTTGTGGCCAGCGGTTTAAACATTAATTGCTGTGTGCTGAGTTATTTTGAGGGGAGAGCAAATTTACACTTATACAAGCTGTCACTACTTCACATTGTCACTCAATACTCACTACTTCACATTGTCGCAAAGCGTAATTTCTTCAGTGTTGTCACATGAAAAGATATAATAAAATATTTACAAAAATATGAGGGGTGTACTCACTTCTGTGAGATACTGTAGATTCTTTTTCTACATTTGAATTGGAAAAATTTAAATGGCTGCTGGAGAAAATTGTATTTTCCTTTAGTTTAACACAATTATTTTGTTGCCTTGCAAGCACTGCTATTTCATTCTGGACATTTTAACCACTTTGAGAATGTCTTTGTTTGTGCCAAATGCCACTATTATTTCTTTAAAAATATCAAGACATTACAAATGTTTATACAATACAGTAAAATGCTTTTTATAATACAAAAGTTAAATTAAATTAAATTACAACAATTTAAATTTTAAAGGTCATAATTAATTTAACTAATTAGACAGCATGTACAATAACATACTTTAAATGCATGCTTTAACACGCCTTTGAATAAAAAGCTGAAAATAATGTGCATTTTGCTTTTTTATATGATTAATTGATTAACTCAACAAATAATTGACAAATGAATAAATTTTCAAAATATATGTTAGTTTCAGTACCATTACTAATGCCCATTTTTATGTCTTTGCATGCTGATGACATGCTGTAATCCTGGAAAACAATTACAATTGTTCATTGTCACAACCTGATTCGCAGGCTCACACACAGAATCTGCATGCAACGAACTTCCACGTGAATCTGATCACTCATAAGTTCCCTGCAATTTTTTTAAAAAATGTTTGCATTTGCTTATGCAGCTCTTTCTTTATTTAAATCAATCCCACAGAATTCTGCAGATTTTCACCCAAAGTCAGCAAAAAAAAAAAAAGGGCGCACAGATTCATGTTAAATAAAGAGAAAATAATTATAAAAATGTGCAGTTTAAAACTAAGCATTGCACAGCAGCAACAGCACATGCATCATATGTGCTTACGCAAGTGTCGTCAAACGTGGCTCTTTTTCTTGACACCTCCGGTGCCAGTAGTCCGGAGGGCGAGTTGGGTGAAGACGCTCCACCCGACACTATCACCATGCCATTGCTGTCGACCACGTATCGTGCTTTTCCATTAGACGGCAACAGTATACGTGGAGTCAGACTGCTTTTGCTAAGAGTGCTGTAAAGCGGATCGGATCGAGAGGGTACAAACAAAGAGTTTCTCCTGCTGCCCGTCTCCTCACACATGCTTCGCTCGTCGTCAGCGTAGTTGTTTTCTGAATGCACACGCCCGCGGAAGCTGAAGATGCTTCCTTTGCTGTCCCGACGTGGGGTGAGGACTGAGCCCTGAAAACTCAGGGGGGACTGAGGAGAAAAACAAGCCTTACAAATACATTGACAAAGAAATTAAGGCATACGAGGACGTAATCTGACTAACTGGCAGAAGAAATCCCAATTTACATCAAATTTGTCAATCCAAATTCAGCAACACATTATCATATATAACAAAAACTAATATAAGCATCCACACCAGTGCATGATAATTAATTGGCTGTCAATGTTTTTGTTTGTTTGTTTTGGAAAAAAAACTTTGAAAATCATTTTAGGGATTTTGTTCCTCTGTCGTTATCGTTATATTATTAAAACTTTATAGTTATAGCTAATGTTATCGTCCTTAGTTTTTGCTCTTTTCTAATGTAAGTTCATGGAAATCCTGTTTTTTATTTAATTTGTTCATTTTACAGTAATACTCCAAAAATATGGTAAAAATAACAAATGTAAAGTTCAATCTGTGTATTTAATAGCAGTTTTTAAGTCATGTTACTACATAATTGAACAATTTTCAAGAAAAGTAGCAGATAGTGATGCTTTGCAATTCAAAATTTCAGCCCACGTAAGAATAACAAAACTTTTAAATCTAAACATTTTAAAGAAAATTACGAGTTTAGTGGCTGGTCAGGTGGACAAGCAATGGCTGGAGAGAACAAAATTGGCAAAAATGGCGAATATCTTGATGATGATGAAGATAAAGTTGATTTTGATGATTATGCTGAATGTGAAAAAGAACAATGACGTAGGAGAAAGATGACAATGTGAGAAGATGAAAAATAAAAGTTGATAGATGTCTTTAGTTTTGAAGAAGTTTAGATGAAATTAGTTTTTTTCAAAGCAAAGAAATTAAAAAAACAAGGATGAGAAAAGATAATTTTGATGAATGATAAGAATGTCAAAAAGTCAAGTAAATATAGTGCTGTCAAACAATGAATTGCGATAAATCGCATCCAAAATAAAAATAATTTTTTTGTTTACATAGTATATGTGTGTGTACTGTGTATATTTATTATGTATATGTAAATACACACCCATGCATGCATATATTTAAGAAAAATTTTACGTTTATATATTAAATATATTCATATAAAATGTAAATTACATGCATATAAATATATACGTACATGTAAATATTTTCAATATATGCATTGTATGTGTGTGTATTTATATACATAATAAATATACACAGTACACACAGATATATTATGTAAAACAAACATTTTGGATGTGACTAATCGCAATTAATCGTTTGACAGCACTAAGCAGATAGTTGAAAGAATGAAGATGACAGCGTTAATTCAAATACATTTTTAACGCTGAATAATATGGAGACAGATCAGCCTCAAAAATAACACATTTGCAAAACAAAATTCATAAATGCACAGCACAATTTACATTTACAAAATCCGATTCGTAAATTCAAAACACAATTCATAAATACACAAGTAAAAGCATAAATATTTCCCCAAATGCTCACACAAATGCATCTTACCTAAATACATTTAAAATGTTTACACAAATATGTATATATCAAGTTCTTGAATGAATTTCCATCACACATTTATGAACGATGTTACATGTATTTATGGATCACTGAATCTGCATTTGTAAATCATCACACATGCGTGGACTGCTTTGAATTTGTGTGCGGTATTTTTGAGACCTTCCTGGCAGGTTAAGATTCATAAATATCTTTTTTTGGAGGATGTTCCGTTCAGCCAATCGCGGTGAGCTTTTAATCCACCAATCAAAACGCTCTTTACTGAACAGACTCAAGAAGCTCAACGCTGTGCTTGTACTGTGCATTAAGACATTTTAGTGGGTACTCTTTTTTTAGCACCTGATTACAATTTCTACAAAATCACTGAGTAAAGTAGTTTTTTATCTGATGGCATTTTCTTATGATTACAGGTTGTTTTAGTTAATTAAGTGTGCAGTGTTACAAAGTTATTAGTCCACGCCAGCTTTCTTATATTATAACTGGTGTTTGTAGGAACACTTTAGTAATCACCGGATGAATGGGCGATAAACAATCAGTAAAACAACGATTTCGATGCTAAACTATTGCATAATTTTAAATACGATTTGTAGTCAGTGGGTTCTAAAGTTACCATTGCGACCAGCTATAATCATAAGAAAATGCCATCAGATAAAAACGACTTTACTCACTCGTTGAGTGTGGTTTTCATCCTCCATGCTGAATCTCTTTGATTGTGTGTGTTCGCTTTTTTTAATGCCTGATCAAAAGTTATTGCGAATGTGTTAGCCTACTACTACTACTACTACTACTAATTTTCAAAATAGTAATTATATAGTATAGTTAAAAGCCGAGGTCTCTATACGTTACTGCCGGGTTACATTGCTGACAGAATGCAATGTTTTATGCTGTTTATCTAGATTGTAAAAGATGTAGCACACGCGCTTAGAGACCTGCTCCCGTGAGACCCGACGCAACAGAGCGCGGCGCAGGAGAAGACTTGATAGGCGAGTGCAGAGACTCGTGTGTGCGCGGGATGCGGGAGAATAAAATTATTCACGGGACTCCCGGAAAATAGAAATATCTAAACATAAAATATCTAAAACAAATAAATTGTTACTCATCTATTGCACAAAAGCAACATGAACTAATATAAAATATAAACGATTAACATGTGCAAGCCTATGCAGAGTTTCTATTTAGGCTATAACACGTGTTTGCAGCGTTGAGCAATGCTGTGCTGAAATGTGCGTGCTCACGAATCCTCTCAGTATAACACACGAATTGTAGACATTATGAAAGATTAATTATGCTTATTTATTGTGTTATAACAGAGATTTGTGAGATATAACTATGAACTGAGATGTCTTTTAGAGACTATAAATGCAGCGCTCTTTGCTGGCATTCTGTCATACTGTGAACGTGGGGCTAACAGGAGCTAAGCTAGGCTACTAAACTGTTGCTAAGCTAATTGCTAACAGGGTGCTAGCATCTACACATCAAGACTTTTAATTTGGTTATTAGAAAGTGCGAACACTCGCGTCCCATCTGTAAACAGAAGCACAGACAGAACAAACCAGCAGGAGACAATACCGTCATCTTTCTCCTTTAATTCTAAACACAAAAGAAGAATATACACAAGTAAGGCCATATCGCCAAGTGCCTCCCCTACACATCTCTCTCCATGACGGTGACAGCCACACTTTTTATAACAAGGCAGTAAATGAACCAAACCCACCCGAACTAACTTGAACATAAACACAAATAACATTGCTAACGCAAAAACCCAACCATCTTGCTTAACACATAAATCAACTCTAAACAAATACCCATAATGCACCTGGCTGCTAGCGCTCACTGCCGGGTCATTACAATACCAAACCATGCACGCAGCAGCCGCTTGCTTTAGTTAAAATAACAGTGTTCTGTGAATGTTGATGCTTTAATAACAAATACTTATCGGGAGCGTGTACGCTGGGATTTCTTAAATGTAATGGAGAATAAAGTAACAGTAACTAGTAATGTAACTAATTACTAATTACTTTTGAAATAAAGTAATCAGAACAGTAACATGATTACTTTTAAAAGGAGTAATCAGTAATTTAATTACATTTTCAGAGTAACTTGCCCAACACTGCCAATTAAAGTCTATACATCAAGGACCCGATCATGGAACACTGCACAGTACAAGCACAGCGTTGAGCTTCTTGAGTCTGTTCAGTAAAGAGCGTTTTGATTGGTGGATTAAAAGCTCACCGCGATTGGCTGAACGGAACATCCTCCAAAAAAAGATATTTATGAATCTTAACCTGCCAGGAAGGTCTCAAAAATACCGCACACAAATTCAAAGCAGTCCACGCATGTGTGACGATTTACAAATGCAGATTCAGTGATCCATAAATACATGTAACATCATTCATAAATGTGTGATGGAAATTAATTCAAGAACTTGACATATACATATTTGTGTAAACATTTTAAATGTATTTAGGTAAGATGCATTTGGGGAAATATTTATGCTTTTACTTGTGTATTTATGAATTGTGTTTTGAATTTACGAATCGGATTTTTACGAATCGGAATTGTGCTGTGCATTTATGAATTTTGTTTTGCAAATGTGTTATTTTTGAGGCTGGTCTGTCGCCATAGAATAAAGTAGAAACTTTGTCTGTCTGTCTGTCTATCTATGATATATAATCTATATCTATATATATAAATAAAATGTTCAGTATAATTTCGATTCTAAATCATGAATCAGATATGTAGATTAGACCCACCTATATATCATTCCTGTACACCTTTCAAATCTCATTCTTAATTACCAAAAAATGTCAAAGTTTGTTTTTCCTGTTCTATTCTAAAATTGTAATAATAGCACACTTAAACAATAAGACATTTCCATAATTATTCTGATTTCACAAACACTGATATGACTACTGTCTTCTGTGTTTAAAGGCAATGACATTTCCTTATTGCTATGGTAAGCATCAAATAAAACCACACAGCAGATGAGATTTTTCTAACCTGATGTGGAGACGTGTAAGTCCTTTCACGTGAGCGCCGGATTTTTCCATCAGCTGGAAAACGGAAGCTGACCTTTCTATCAGTTCCCTCCCTGTTGGAATCCTCCTCTTTCTCGCCTTCCCCCTGACGCTGTTTCTTTTTCCTGCGGTTGCGTCTTTCTTTGGCACTTTTGGAACTGAGTTTGGAGGCATCCGAGGAAGAGTCTGTCTTTTCTCCACTCAGCCCATCACACTTGGATGCTTCAGCTGCAGCCTGCCAAGCAATCATGCATCAAGATTATACTTACACAGTAAAGGTTTTGTAAAGGTTTCCGGCATTTACATTCATGCATTCGGATGCTTTAAAAGAATACATTTTGTTAGTGGTTCATGCATTTCCTGGAAATCAAAACCCTTACTTTGCCATTGAAGGTACCATACACTAGCATTTGCATGGTATTCATACCCCGTTTTAATGAAAACACCCAACAGACCTGAGCTTCCTCTTCCTGTCTCATCAGCTGCTGGAGCATGGCATTAAACTCCTCCTCTTTCTTCAAAGCCTCATCAATAGTGGCTTGATTTTGTTCATCATATGCCAAGGCAACCACAGCCAGGATCAGATTCACCAGGTAGAAGGATCCCAAGAAAATGACCAGCATGAAAAAAATCATGTAGGTTTTTCCTGCAGCCCGAAGAGTCTGTAAGAAAAGTCCACGATTCGTCTTTGATAAACATAGGAAGCTATTCATGTAAATTATGTATGATTATCTTCTTTTCCATACAATGAAAGTGGATGGAGACTCCATAAATGACAAAAACACCACAAAAATACCATAAAATAGTCTATATGGCTACATGCTAAATTATATGATTGATTTGTGTGAACAGATTGAAATCGCACAGAAATAGACAGAGAAGAAACTGCACACTTCATAGGTTCATTCATTTCTCATGAAACAATAGTTTTGAACACAATGGAGGGCAAGATTTTCAGGGAACAGCAACTTTTCGGTCTGTTCCTCACACCAGCAACATTATATTGCATTAGAAGACTTGGAATAAATAATACAAATAATATGGACTACTTTCATGGTGGGGTTTTTGTCCTTTTTGAAGCTTGACAGCCCTAGACTTTGTCTACTTTTATCATATAGAAAAAAATAATTCTGCAAAACATCTTTTATGTTCCACAAAAGAAGAAGAATCATACAAAATTGGTTTCCTCTACATAGACAAACAACACAAAAGCACCTGTTGGTAAAGATTCTCCCAGTAGTCTTGAGTCATCAGTCTGAATAAGGCAAGGAAGGCCCAGCCAAAGGAATCAAAGCTTGTGTAACCATAATCTGGATTGGGACCTGCTTTTATACAGACATGGTTTTCTGGACACTGCCTAAATGCACACGTGTGAGACAGTGACTGTCAAAAACTCACCATGTAAAAAAAACAAGCAACTGCTCTTGGAGAATTATGTTTGAAGGGAAGACAATGCCAATGTTTATGAAAAAAATCGATACACGTTGCTTACCCAGCATCACTGCTTTTCCCACAGATCATAGCATCTTTCTTTCCTGATTGGATATAATGATTACCTACAGGAAAAAAGAAGAATACTATTCATAATAGAACTTATACAAAGCTAAGGTGCATTAGTTGGTTTGTTCTATAACCCATGAGTTTATTTGATTAACATTATAGGTTGGTTCATATTTTTATTTTATTTTAATATTCTTCACTGGTACTTTTTTCCCCACTAAAATGACTATATGACCAATTTCTTAATTGTTTTTGGTGCAATACATGTCAATTAATATATGGCCATTTTCTTAATTGGTCCATTTTTGGCACCAAAAACAATAAAAAAATTTGGTTTGATAATTTTGGTGCAGAAAATGGACCAATGATGAAAATGGTCAAGACCGGCCAAAATTTGTTTTGTTTTTTTTTGCAATAAAACAGTACTAATATATGATCATTTTCTTCATTTTTGTATTTAATATTTTTCATTGGTTATTATTTATTTGCTTATTTTCACCAAAGATTACCATATGACCACTTTCTTAATTGTTTTTGGTGCAATAAATGTCAATTAATATATGGCCATTTTCTTCATTGGTCCATTTTTGGCACCAAAAACAATAAAGAGTTTTAATACATTACCATTTTCAATGTTGGTCCTTTTTTATTTGTTTTTGGTGGCGCTCAAAAAAAGCCTTAATACATGACCATTTTCGTCATTGTTTTTGGTGTCAAAAATGGACCAATGAGGAAAATGGTCATAATTAAGACCATTTTCCATCCTCTCTCTGACCCATCAAATTAAACGGGACATGTTGTTTTTGTTTTTTTAATGGAGCAGGGCCAAGCCCCATGCATATGAGTGAAATGTCAAAATACCAGCAGAATTTGTGTATATATCAGAATAAAAATACATGTGGAAGGCATCGTTCCTCAGCAAGCAGCGGGCCAGATTATCTCACTCCTATGATAGCTTTCCCCCATCCTGCTAAAGTACTTTCCAATGGATATCATATTTCGCCCCAATATGAGTAAGGTGGAATTCCTCTTCCTCTTTCTCTCAAACAGGTTTTTCATGGCTGGCACTAATGTAAACATCCATAATGCTGAATGATGACAGCTGGCTGTCTGGCAGATGTACAGATCACTTACACACTCACAATATTTCCTCTATATTGTTAGTATATCGGCCTGTCACTCTTCACCGGGTTTATACTGGCCCTGATCGAAACGTTCCCCACATCACAACAGTTTCATGACAGTTTTCAGGTGTACTATACTCAGTGTTCTGTACCATTTCTAAATCACTAACCAAGTAAGTAAATCTTGTTGTACAGTCACTAATTTATATCATTTTATGTGGTTTTCTGACTAAACGTATGGATGTATTGATGGATAAATGTATGGCTGGATGGATGCATGGATGAGGCAAAATGTTTGTCAGCATTTAATATTTTTTGTATGAAACCTAGGTCCAATATTGTTTTTTGTGCCTAAGTTCAATCTGTCAGTTTGTCTCTCTATGTTGTGTAAAACAAACAAGCAAACAAATAAATGTTCACGTTTTTGTTTTCTATTAATTGCCTTTGGGTGCATGAAAGCATTTACGGGATTTGCTTAGCTTAATATCTGCATGCTTACTGCATATTCCTTTATTGTTTATCTACTTGTAATATTCTTCATCAGAAAAGATTCTGAGAAATTTGCATTACAATCACTTGCTCACCAATGGATCCTCTGCAGTGAATGGGTGCCGTCAGAATGAGAGTCCAAACAGCTGATAAAAAAATCACAATAATCCACAAGTAATCCACACCACTCCAGTCCATTTTGTAGAGTGAAAAGCTGCACATTTGTTAAAAAAAAATCCATCATTAAGTGCTCTGTGGATTATTGTGATGTTTTTATCAGCTATTTGGACTCTCATTTTGACGGCACCCATTCACTGCATTGGTGAGCAAGTGATGTAATGCTACATTTCTCTAAATTTGCTTAGATGAAGAAACAAACTCATCTACATCTTGGGTAACCTGAGGGTGAGTACATTTTCTGCATTTTTTATTTTATTTTATGGGTGAACTATTTCTTTAGGTACTTTTGTAGTAAACCAGCACACTGATTTAAGAAGAACAGAACAGAAAAAAAAAAAGAACAGAAACCGTTCTTAAATTGATAAAGTTCAAGATTTGTGAATTTTTGACCTACTGATTAAAAATAATTGACTTATTCAATGTGAATCAAACATCACACTTATTTTTTTTGCATGTGCAACCCCTCTCCCGGGTCCTCACCACCATACCTCGTTCTTGTTCCGAGTGGGTCTCAAGCCCGGGTCTCCAGCATGGGAGGCGGACGCACTAACAAGGAGGCTAAGGACTGCAGCCTCTAGTGTCAGTCGTTAGTGCGTGCGTCTCTTGAGATCAGGGGAGAGGTTTTTACATGCACAGCACCTACTCGCTGGCATCCGTTACACTCACCCCCCTAAACCTCACTCCCATCCGGGTCACGGCACCAATGTAACCCCTCTCTCCCGGGTCCTCACTGCCACACCTCGTTCTTGTTCCGAGTGGGTCTCAAGCCCGGGTCTCCAGCATGGGAGGCGGACGCACTAACAAGGAGGCTAAAGACTGCAGCCTCTAGCGTTAGTCGCTGGTGCGTCTCTTGAGATCAGGGGAGTGAGGTTTTTACCTGCACAGCACCTACTCGCTGGCCTCCGTTACACATGCAACCATCAAATCACAAATCAAAGCAAGAACACCTGAAAAGAAAACTGGAAAATGTTTGAAAAAAAAGACTCATTTAAGCACTTAGAGAAGAACACGACATGCTTGAAGAAAGCAGTGTCAACATCTGTGACCCTGACCTTTGCCCTAACTCTCACCTGGGATGACCGATATAGTTTTCAGGGCTCGAAGAACTCTGAACGCTCGCAGCACAGACACACTACCCAGATCCTCAAACTCTGTTACATATCTGAAACATGGAGGGTGGGAAATCAAACACAGCCAGACATACAACACACAGGAAGGTTTGAGACACAGGGTTGCAGTCGGGTTCAAAGGTCCCACAGACGTCACACACCTAAACATGTTCTCTGCTTACCTGGAATTACTGAAATAGTTTTCAAAGCTCTGAGTACCCTGAATGTGCGGAGAGCTGATACATTGCCTATGTTTATAAACTCTGTGACAAACCTGTGGGACCAAATGCACAGATACAAATAAAGCTGATGGGCACTGGAGATGCCAATGGCCTTTATGGGCATTTTATGGACTAATTATCAGTTAAGGATGCATAATTTGAGATTAAATCTGTTTCTTAAAAAATATAAAAAAAATTATATTTAAATTAAATTAAAATGAAATATATAAATAACCATTTAAAAATAAATAGTCAAGTATTTTAAACTCTAAAAAGTCATATTATTTAAGTGTTTTAATAAATAAGTGCATAAACATATTGTATATAAAAATATTTAATATTTAATAATAAATTTTATTTCAAATAAATTATAATAAAAACTATTATAAAACAGTAAACCTTTGCAAAAAATTTGCAGTAAACCTTTCTCTGTCATTTTAAATAATTTGACAAGTTTTTGAGAAGTCTCAGCAGAGAAAAACAAGATTTTACACCCTACAATGTTTTTTGGAACTCTAAATGTTTTACTCTAATCATATAATCTATCAGTTTAATACTTTCATAATGCATTTTTAAAGAAATTTAGGTAACACCTTCTATGAAGCCCCTGTTTATAATACATTATAAGGTTATTCTTAAGGCATTCTAATTAATACATAATGCATTATAAAAAACCTTAGAATATGTTATATCATTTCATGAATAATCATAACAACAATTATAATACATTATAATACTTATGTATTTGTGGTTATAACTTTAAGAGTATGATTATTTATAACACCATATTAAATCTACTTTTACATTTATAATGGACTATTGTCAGGGTTATGGACATGTATCTGTGTGTTTTTCCCCTCCATGTGCCTGCCCTGACCCAGTTTCCCGTGTCTTTGATTGTTCATTTGATTCACGGTGTGTCTCGTTGTTCCCTAATTAAGTTGTGTACTTAAGTTTGAGTCTGTTCAGTCTGTGTTTGTCAGGTCTACGTGTTGGATTACGTGTGCTTTCCCCTGCTCCTGTTGTGGATGTACCCGTTATTCTCCTATTAAATACCGTTCATGTTATCCACGTCTCCATCATTCCTTCCAGCAGCATATCGTGACAGAAGACCCGACCAAGACAAAACATTTCTATGGATGTCTTCACCCACCCCGAATACCTCCTCCTCCTGCTGGAGCATGGGGAAAGATCGCTCGAGGGCCACACCAGACTGTTCCTGGTCCTCGCCAACCTCTCCAGCTACCCGGACGACGCGCTATGTGCGTTCTATGACGCCAGCCTAAACTCGGCGTACAGAGCATCGTCGTCCGAGGAGGGCCCTCGAGCGAGTTTCGCCGCCTTTGGGAAGTGGACACTCCAGACCCAGAGCCCAGCCCACCAATTCCCCACTGCGCGGAGCATCAGCCCAAGCCCACTGCTGACGGAGAGCCAGAGCCTGCCGCGACCGATGAGCCATCGAAAGAGAGAGCGACAGAGCTGAGGATCGCCACGGAGCCGGAGCCCGTGACGTCAGTCCAGGTGTGAGAGCCGGCTACCACACCCGCCACAAGGGAGAAAGCCGTGGCCAGTGAGATTGCAGAGAGGAGCTCCGCCCACTGCAACAAGGCTGAGGGTGAGATATTGATGGATCTGGGTAAATGGCAAGTGGAAGGAGACCTGATTGACTTTTATACCAACCTGCCCCCTTTCCTCCCTCCTTTGTCGGTGAACTCTGTCCCTCCTGTTCCTGAGTTCAGCCCTGAAAGCCCGGAGGCTCAAAAAAGCCCACCCTCCCACCCACTCCTGCCTCCTCCACCGCTGTCATCTGGCAGCCCCCCTGCTCGCCCTCAGCCCAACATCTGTTCGGTGCAAGCTCCGTGGGACTGCCATCCTCCAGCGTTGCCATGGCTGGAGTATCCCTTGACTCCACCTCCAGCCTCTAAGCCCTGGAATCCGCCTCGGCCCGTCGGCTCCATCATGGCTCCTAGCTCCCTCTTCTCCGCTGTGGCCCGCCAGTCCACTAGCTCTGCCGGGTTCCCTCGTCCCTCCGGCTTCGCCTTGGTCTGTCGTTGACCATCCGTCGCCTTGGGACTCCACTCCTCCGGCTGCGCCTCGTCCCTCCGGCTCGGTCAGGCTCCTCTATCCCTTCGGCTCCTCCTCAGTCCTCTGTCGCTCCGGCTCCTCCCTCCGTCGTCACCTCCCTGGACTCTATCTGCCGGCCCCCTCCTGGGTGTCCGTCCTCCTCCTGAGCCTCCTCCCAGTTCCCACCCGTTCCCCCCCTCTGTTATTTCTACGGTGCGAGGACGTGCCTTCCGGAAAGGGGGTGATATGTCAGGGTTATGGACATGTATCTGTGTGTTTTTCCCCTCCATGTGCCTGCCCTGAACCAGTTTCCCATGTTTTTGGTTGTTCATTTGATTCCAGGTGTGTCTCGTTGTTCCCTAATTAAGTTGTGTACTTAAGTTCGAGTCTGTTCAGTCTGTGTTTGTTGGGTTTACGTGTTGGATTACGTGTGCTTTCCCCTGTTCCTGTTGTGCTGTGATTCTCCTATTAAATAACGTTCATGTTATCCACATCTCCATCGTTCCTTCCAGCAGTGAATCATGACAACTATATAATATCTTGACATGGGACACGTTTATTTAAGATCTGCACAGTATCTTACTACATCTTGTGAGTTGTTAGGTGTTGAGTGTTTTTTAAGTATTTCCCGTGAGGCTAATGTTAATTTTGATGTGATCTAGTTAATACTTTGAAATTAAAAAATACCACAATAATCAAAATAATCAAACTGATATTACAATGAAAAATAGTTAAAACAAAAGCAAATGTGTCACATTACACATTCATCTGATCTGATATCTGATCTTATGGTTGTTTGAGAAACAATTATTAGTATTACTTATAAGTGGTGTTTGTCTGCTTTAAGTAAAGTAACAAATAACATGGCAAGATATGAGACTTATAATACATTATAAAACTATGATAAATATAATACATTGTAACTTAAGTGGATGCAACATGTTCATTCTGTGTTATAAATCATCACATTCTTAAAAGATATATCCATGAATAAGTAAATATTATAACACATTAAAACTGTTCTTATGAATATTCATGAGATGATACAACATATTATAAGTTTTTTAATGCAATATGCATTCATTATAATGCCTTAAGAGTACCTTTATAATGTATTATAAATACGGGCTTCATAGAAAGTGTTACCGACATGTGTTTCAACCTATAGATTTACATTTTAATATTTTGTAATTTACCAGACACTTTTGTCCGCAGCACTCTTATCATTGCAAGCTGACAGTAACAACTGAAGATGATCATTTTTTACAACTATATGGACTATGAAACACTACGGTTGAAGAGTGTAATTTATATGCCATTAGCAGCACCAAACAGAATTTCAAAAATAAAGAACATTCTGTCATCATTTTCAGACAAATTTAAAGATAAAAACAACGTAAATATGTAGGATGGTTAATGCAATATGCATTCATTATAATGCCTTAAGAGTACCTTTATGATGTATTATAAATACGGGCTTCATAGAAAGTGTTACCGACATGTGTTTCAACCTATAGATTTACATTTTAATATTTTGTAATTTACCAGACACTTTTGTCCGCAGCACTCTTATCATTGCAAGCTGACAGTAACAACTGAAGATGATCATTTTTTACAACTATATGGACTATGAAACACTACGGTTGAAGAGTGTAATTTATATGCCATTAGCAGCACCAAACAGAATTTCAAAAATAAAGAACATTCTGTCATCATTTTCAGACAAATTTAAAGATAAAAACAACGTAAATATGTAGGATGGTTTTTTTATCATTAAGAGATTGACTGGATGGTGAAAGTGGGTCTTTCATATAAAAAAGGATTAGGATAATTTCAGCAGAGGAGTTGTCTTGGTAATGTCAGCCAAAAAGAAAAGTGGTTTTAAAGACTACATTTTAATGAACGACAGTAAAGGCAGAATAAACCTGGTCAGCTGGACACCAGCAACGTCTTATAAAAAACTGCACTCTTTACCTTTAAGCAATGACAATTAAAGGAGTCTAATAACTTATAACAGTGTAGCCGGGGTAAATAACAGATTTGGCATACTTACGCCATGACTATAACCATAAAATCCAACCAGTTCCACGGATCTCTGAGAAACGTAAACTGTCCCACACAGAATCCCCTGGCGATGATCTTTATAAGTGCTTCAAAAGTGTATATCCCAGTGAAGGTATACCTGTTAAAAACAAGACCCTCAGTTACTGCACTCAGCAAACATGGTGAATTTTTCTACACTATACTTGAGAAGCAGCAAAGAGGTCAACTCACTCTACATTCTTGGCCCAGTCTGGAGGCTGTGAGTAGACCATGAAAGCGCAGTTTGCCAGTATAGTGAACATTATAAACATACTGAACAATGTGAAAGCTGCAGTTAAGGAAACTAAGTTATAGAACTATAGTACCATTCAAATGTTTGGGGTCAGTAAGATAAAAAAAAAAAAAGTAATACTTTTAGCCATCAAGGACATGTTAAATTGATCAAAATTTATAGTGCCGACATTCATAGTATTACAAAAAATGTTTTTTTAATAAATGCTGTTCTTTTGAACTTTCTATTCATCAAAGAATCCTGAAAAAAAAAAATCATGGTTTCCACACAAATATGAACATATGAAAATATGAAACAGCTCAACTGTTTTCATAATTGATAGCAATAAAATGTTTCTTGAGCCGCAAATCAGCATATTAGAATTATTTCTGAAGGATCATGTGACACTGAAGACTGGAAGAATGATGCTGAAAATTCAACTTTGCATCACAGGAATAAATTAGATTTTAAAATATATTCAAATAGAAAACAGTTATTTTACATTGTAATAATATTACTGTTTTTAAGGTATCATTCTCAAAATCATTAACAAATCTTACTGAAATACATATCACAGATTTTTTCTGCAGTGTGGAGTAAATTTGATTTAAAGGGGCTTCAGCTAGTAAAATGATAATGCATTTAAAATCATGGATTTTTTTGAAAAATTATTGAATACTAAAGCGGTTCTCAACTGATTTTGCTTCAGGATCAGATTTTTCATTGGACATCAAGTCAACAAGTCATAGTCTCAGGCTCTCAGCTCCTAATAATTCATCACACAAAACACGTTTATCCTGAAGCGAACCTGTCTTTAATGCCATTTGGGTCGTGTTTTCTTTTGTTAATGGTTTCTGAGAACAACATGTCCATTTGACATCTAATTTGATTCATCATGATCATTTTCATTTCATTATTTACATTTATTACCAATCAATCACTCATTTTTGGGTTGTAAACTACCAATATTACAGATTAAACCGTAAAAGCATACATAAGACCCAACCTTCACAACAAGACATGTTTCATGTGTCAGCAGTTGAGAAGGATATGAATGCACCAAAATCTTAACTGATATTCTTCTCAGAAGGTTGAAGGGACTGAAGATATACAAGGCAGGAGCAGCGTTGAAACGGCTGATTGTCTTTTTTTTGTTCACTACTATAAAAGTCTAAACAAGAGGGAGATGAAGAAGATGAATACATTAAAGATGGACAAAAAAGTCAGCAAAATAAATAAATTATATATATATATACATTTATATATATATATATATTTAATATAATTATTATTATTTTTATTATAAATGTATTACACCTTTATATTTATATTAATATTATATTTAGATAATTAAATATATAAATACAAATGCACAACAACAACAACAGAGAATATGACCGATTCTTCTGAATTTACATTTGAAAACATTATTTGCTGAAAATTTGATTATTGACCATGAAACAGCTTTTTATTACATTACATTTTATTATTTTTTTATTTTACATGTTTCAAATTTCAAAAACATCTGTAATAAGACTAAATAAGACTTTAAATCTCAGATTTTTAGGGTGATGCTTTGGACCCCTCGCTGTACCTTTGTGGACTCTCATAGGTTCATTGAGAAATATAAATCCAAACTCACTGCCTGACTGCTGTAGAACTGGTCCAGGTCCTCCAGTGGTGTGGACACCAGTCCTCTGGGAACGTCTCCGTATATGAAGGGCAGATTTTTCCCAACCGCCAGGCCGCTGTTGGGTTTTCTTCTGCATTCATCGTCTTTATTTCTCTCCTGCTTGTCCTTGGACTTCCTGGCATTCTCCTCAGCGATCCGGCTCTCGATGGCCTCAAGTGATTCACGGGTGAACTTACGGAAACTTTTAGGTCCTGGTGGAGTAAACGAATGCGCCATTTTCTCATCCTGAACCTTCAGAGTGATTCGCTACACGTCTGCATGAGAACAGTTACACGTCTGGCAGAACCATAGAGAAAGAGAGAAAGACTGAGTCAGAGGGACAGAAACACATTAAATGTGATCAGTATCTGTATGGTTAGCTTATCCATCTGGAACCACAAAGAGAAAAGCATCCTATAAGTGATGGACACGCCTTGCCATACTCAAAACCATCAGCTGCTATCAGAAACAGAGCTCTCGAGGAATCAGGGTTATGTATGCCACACAAATAAATAAACACAGTCCCACACGACTTAGAGGAGCTTAAACCTACAACTAGCTTTGAAGAGCGTGGTATATGAGCAATTTTTACATTTTTATTTACATGCATTTTATGCATTAATTTATTGAATCGATTAATTTATTGAATATATATATATATATATATTCAATAATATATATATATATTAGAGCCTGACAGATATGTTTTTTTTGGGGCCGATACCGATATTAGGGGGTAAAAAAAAGGCTGATACCGATATATCGGCCGATATTCTTTGTGCATATTATAGTACAATACCAGTCAAAAGTTTGCACACTTTACCATTCGTGTGTCCAAACATTTGACTGGTACTATATATAGAACACAGTATATGCATAAACAGAATATATATACATAAACACATTTTTTGCAATGATCACTTCAATGTGGTGATCAAACACTTATAATGGGTTTGCTTAAAATCAATTTTGCAGAATTCCACTTAGTTTCTTAAAACATGGCATAAAACAATCTTAAGAAACAAGTCTTGCACTTTCTGTCTAAACAAGACAAATGCAGTGTTGCCAAAAAGTATTTAGACACTTACTTTAAATGCCATTTAATAAAAAAAATCTAAGTAAATTGC